CATCCATCATCCATCCATCGCAGCTGGAGCTCTCCAGCGTTCCTCCGTCTGCACCAACTCAGTGAAGCGAGCGCGCACGGGAAGACTCGCTGTTGCAGTTTTCCAAAATTTAAAGCGTCAGTCATGAATTGTGTTATGAATATGGAAAAAAAACACATATAAGTCGCAGGACTCAAATCTTTGCAAAAAAAACTGTGACTTATACGCCAGAAAATACTGTATGTGCTTTGTTAAAAACGGATTCATTTTGAAGAAATAAAATGTTTGTATTTACCAAGTTAGAGATTATTCTGTTAGTTACCACAGATGAACCTTTTAACGTGTCAGAACTTTTTGCTTGTAGGTAACGTTTTTTGATTTTCCAAGAGGGGAACCTATCATCTATCAAACTGCTCTGCAGAAATGTTCAGAAACAACTGACCAATCACAAAATCACATCACAGGTAAGTGAATCTGTTCCACAAAAGAAGGCAGTGGCTCACAGATTTAATCAGAGGGTTTATCATCTCATTTTAGAACAACACATCAGCTGGATAACGTTTCCTTGTGTTTGCAAACGATGCATGTCAGAACTGAAAGGACATCGGTGTAGCCTGAGCAGGTAGTGACTGTGAGTCTGAACAACAGTAATCAGTCGTGACGTGCAAACCTTCCTCGTGTTTGTCTTCAGGGTTTGGACATCAGACAACATCTCGGAGACACTTCGTAAAGTTTGCCAAGAGCCTGAGAAGATCCGTCAAACTCATGCCATCACGTATTATAAAGGCACCGTCACGACTCAGCTCACGTTGACGTCTTTTTTTATTTTTCCATCAGTCGGTCAGTCATCCGCACTCACATGTCCAGTGTTGGTACCCGGACTATTGGCACCACACTGATGCTCACCCACCACGACAACTGACTTCCCACCACACCTGGTTCTTCTTAAATGCACGACCCCTGGAACAATGGCCTGTTCTTTGAGTGCGCACGGGGAGCAGGTTATAAAGTCGGGGCATCTGGAAAGTATTAGGTGAGTCTGAGAGCACACGCTGCGCAGTGGCAGCTCCTGCAAATTAGACTCACCACACGGCGTGTGCTTGTCTGTGAGAGAGCGACAAAGACAGAAAAACAGCAGACTTAGCCCGAGAGTGAATATTATTCCACATGTAGACTGTGCACATAAGTGTGTGCGGTCAGTAACTGCCGGGGAGGCACACTTCTTTTTTACAGTGTGTAAGTGAATGAAGAGCCTGCAGGCTGGTGTAAAAACAGCAATGAACTGTCAGTGTAAGTGTTCAGCTGTGGAAGCTCTGCTGCTGCTGTGCTCGTGTGACTGCAGGACGTTTGCATTTATTCTGGTTAACTATGAAAAACAGGTACAACATGTGGGCCTGCAACTGTAACATTTACTAGCATCATTTATGTAAATGTTACACAAGCTAACCTAACATGGATGGAACTAATAAAAAATACAAACATAATTAGAAAACAATGAAACTAATGTAAAGAGTTATATGTACAATATGATATCAAACTTACTAACAAATTGTTGTTGAGCTTGATTTAATCTAATGACGTCACGTGCGCCACAGAATGGCTGCACTGACGGGAGCTCCGCTTCGACTCCATCTTTTTTTGTTCCTGTTGCTTTTATTTAAACTTTATTTTGTGCCTACAATGTACACCCACGCTACGGGTATGACTGCAACACACGTGTGCAGTTTTCTGTGTCGCTGCCTTACCACTGCACCATCCTGCCATCGTGGTCAGCTCCCGGCCACCTTCCAGCCTCGGGCTCAGGCTCCAGCCTGTCATGGCGGCTGTCTCCATGATCCTCCATCTGCCTCCATGGACCGAACTCTACGGACTCGTTTGGTTCTGCGGGGAAACCTTGGATGTTCTCTGCCTGCCGGACCCAGTTCTGGAGGGAGTCTGGGAGGGCAGCTGCTGCGGTCATTATTATCATCATGCTGCTAACAGGACTTGCTAACAACCTGCTAATGTTGCTAACAAGACCACGCCACTAACAGAACTACACTGCTAACAGAACCATGCTGCTAATGGGACCATGGTGCTATAGATGGATTTCTTTTTAATTTTTGCCACCTTGTGTTTGTACTTTTGTTGCATGCTTTGGTATTTCTTGTTGTTGTTTTCTTGTTGTTGTTTTGGCAAAGAGAGCACATTACACCAGTTCGGGCCTCACTGCACTGGTTACCGGTTCACTTTCGAATCCAGTTCAAAATACTCCTGTATGTCTACAAATC